CAGGTCCAGGCCACAACAATTGCCCAATGACTAAACTTCCCCTTTCAAAATCAACTCCGATCCCAAATAGAATTCTACTAATATTTCAACCCAATGACATAACATTACTTGAAATAAATAGATAAGAATAATTAATGAGGAAGAGATGAGATGCCCAATAGCCCCTCCCCACCCCTCTTTCTAAAGAATCTCCAGCTCATTGTCGATTTCAAACACCCCTCCCTCGGTTGCTATGCTATGCAGCATCTTTCATCTTTCTAACCATTTCTTTGTACGAATATATTCTAGTTAGTTAAGCATGCGTGCACCCCATTACTAACTACACAAACTCTTTCTTTCTCTATATTTTTTTTCAATTTCTCAATTCAATGTAAAGCCTTTTAAACATCGATGGAATCTCATTTCGACTTTTTTGCCCATTAAACATGAAAAGATGCCTCCAACTACCAAGAAAAGGTTTGCAAATTCCAAAAGTAGATGTTGCTTACGAGTTGTATATGAAGGCATCTCAAATGATTATGAAATCCTAATAATGCATTTTACAAGGCAACTAAAACTTCAATTGGACTTTGGACGTTTCGTAGAGGTTCAATAAATTTGTTTAAATATTTACGACAGAGTAAGTGTACTCGTTGATGTATGTGTATATATAAATTAAGGATACACGTAAAAGAAATAGAAAATTTATTATTTTTATCGAAAATAAATTTAGAAAATAATTATGAAGAGGAGGTGCCAAATGATAATAACATGGGTTAATCTCATTTTGTACTCCGAAAGATTGTTTGAATCTCAATTTGTACCCTCAAAGATCAAAAATCTTAATTTACATCCTCAAAGATAGAAATTTGTATTAATATGCACCCCTAAAGATAAAAAATCTTAATTTGCACTCTCAAAGATAGAAATTTATATCAATGTGCACCCCAAAGATAAAAAATCTCAATTTACACCCTCAAATATAGAAATTTGTATCAACGTGCACCTAAAACTAAATTGATAAATTATACCTAGATCCTCTCATACTTGTCACTTAATTATTTAGACCTCTTCATATTTAGGATATTACTCCTACATCTTATGACATTTGTGCACGTATAACACGTAACCCATTTTCATTGATATTTATTAATATAACCGTTAAAAAATATAATTTTATCCTAATAAAAAATTATAATTTCATATTACCATTTATTTCATGGATTCAATATATTTTAAAGTTCAAAATCTAGTTTACCATTTGAATGTCTAATAAAATGTAAATATTTATATAATATTTTTTATATTACCTTTTATATAAATATCTACATTTTATTAGACATTCAAATGGTAAGCTTGATTTGTAATTTTAGAGTATATCGAATCCACAAAATAAAAGGTAATATGAAATTATAATTTTTTATTAGGATAAAATCATATTTTTTAACGATTATATTAACAGATATCAACGAAAAGTGGTTATGTGTTACACATGCACAAACATCATGAAATGTAAGGGGAAATATTCTAAATGTGAAGGAGTTCAAATGATTAAGTGACAAACATGAGGGGACTTAAGTATAATTTATCAATTTAATTTTAGATGCACATTGATACAAATTTCTATTTTTGAGGGTGCAAATTGAGATTTTTTATCTTTGGGAATGCACATTGATACAAATTTTTATCTTTGAGGGTACAAATTGAGATTTTTTATCTTTGGGGATGCACATTGATACAAATTTTTGTCTTTGAGGGTGCAAATTAAAATTTTTGATCTTTAGAGGTACAAATTAAAATTTGAACAATTTTTTAAGGTGTAAAATGAGATTAACCCAAATAACATATAGGGGATGAAGAAGTAGAGTGGTAACGTCTCATCTTACTAGAGTTTTGGCCACCCTCTCCACCCCAGGTCTTAACAAGTCAAAAAGGCCACCAAAGAGGTGCCCCCAATACAAACACCAACTCGTATACCATGTAAGTTGCAGGCTGTACTTCCCAATTTGTTGTCAAAGAGTTGGGCACGATTTTGCCAATCATACGTAACTAGTAAACCCAGTTTCCGTCACAGCAAAACCAACCTACTCCATCTCTTCCTTTCTCGCACAACTCTATCTCCAAACTCTCAATAAGGCTACTTCGGTACATTCATCTCTGCCATTAGGACTTCACTACGGTACCACCCCCCCCCCCCCC